CTTATAAAGAAATATACACACTTTCTGATTCGTTTCTTATTGTTCTTGTGACCGTTATTCGAATTGTCAAAGCTAGAGATCCGTAATCAATTCAAATATCTACATTACGGATTCCGACATCCACAATTATTGTAAAAAATATAGTCTTGTTTGTCCAAAAGGTCCATAAGAGCCCAAAAGGCTGAGTTTATTGTCGGGGGATCAAAACTCGTATTGGACTTTCTGATGAAATGTTTACTGCTTTTTATGGACGTGCCACAAATTTATTGCAAAAATTATCCTTTTGATGATCCGGACCATAACATTTTATCTAAAGTGGTATGAAACAGACTGACTAGATAACAATATTTTTAAAACAATAATATTTATGAAGAAAACAGTTTTATAAAACGGATCCCACCTCTAATTGATACTATTACGGCTTAGTCTACCATTTTGGTTTGCTGTTACAGAAAAAAAAAAAAAAATCGGGTTCCACTTTGATTACTATTTTTCTGAAAACAAAAACACCAAAAACTGAGTATGAATTCATCATTATCCAAATATGTAGCATTCTCTGGTGAGTGGTGATAATGACATAATAGTGTGATGGAACAAAGTAAATTTATTCATTGTAATTATTTCGATATCGTAAGGTTACACATCAATTTTTTTTAGAAGGAGGGAATCTGGGAAATCTGTGAACACAAGTTGATACAACGTTATAATCAAAAAATTGAGGGAATCCGGGAAAGAGAAGTACGAAACACGCATCATTAAGCTTTAACAACAAATTGCAACATTCCTTAGTGAGACCATTGAAGCTATTCTTCCACTCATTTTTCACCACTTGATAACATCCTTTTACGCTATTTATTGACGACAAACATTTCTCATACTGCTGAGCTTCCGATGGTCGGATAACCAAAGTTGAGACTAGAGTTACCAAAAAGAACATCATTTTGATTTGTTTTGAATTCATTTTCTGGTTTTTGTTTTAGAGGACAAGATAGAAAATGTATAATGGATTTGTACTACTATTGAGATATGACTTGAAAGGCTGTGTGTATGGAATTTATAGGGGGTTTCTACAAGAAAACTGAGGGTATGGAATTAATACATCTTTCCTTGTACAAGAAAATTGACTAAATTAAATAGAAAAGATTTTAGTCATATTTTGACCAATATTGTCGGATTTTATAAACATATATACGTTTCAATTTGAATGATATTGCATCTTAGAAAATATATTAAGATAAATATATATACAGAAAGACTATGGATAGAAGATCAAAGTTTCAACTTAATACGATTAAGAAATAATTACGTTTTCATGTGAAGTGCTGGGCTTTATTAAGTTGGGCTTCTCTCATTTTTTATCAGTAAGAATTTGGTTTCGTATTCTCCGTAAGATTCCCAAACTAATGTCTTTTTTTTTTTGGATATGAAATTCGTTTTTCTCTCAAATGATATGAAACTCGTTTATGATATTTTTCTAAAAATATGCATCTGATATACTTGACTTTCGATTAATTTAAAGGTGTGAGAGAAATCTTACCCTAACAAGGCAATCATGGAAGTTCATCCGCAGTAAAGCCGCGGTGACACTGGGGTTAGTGTAGAATCGTTGAAGCACCACATTCCTAATGATTACTTCGGCTTGAGGACATTCTTCATGCTTGAGGACATTCTATGATGAAGAATGTCCTCAAGCCGAAGTAATCATTCCCAGAAAAAGCTACAGAGAATAAAAAAAAAGCAACACCATAAGACAAGAAAATTGCTTCATTTTTTTTTTTTGTATGCCAAGTTTTTCTTTTTTTCTAGTTAGATCTTTGTGTTACCAAGGTATATATAGGAGTAATATTTTATATTAATAAATATATTGAGAGAATTCATGATCGGGTTATGTGTAAAACCACTTATTAGCTCATATGATTGAGAATGATTTTATTAGGATTACCTAGAAAGATTAGGAATAGCGTAGGATTTGGTAGATAGATTAGGAGTAGGAGATATAAGTAGACGTTCTTATAGACTTTGTCATTATCTCAATATTTCATTAGGAGATCTTATGTACAATTGTAAAACTATTCCGAAAACTAGATATTTAAAGTAAAATATTGCTTCTCACGTGAGAAAACTTGAATAACGTCCACAATGTTTAGGAAAGAAAATTAACCCTTGTTAAAACTTTAATATTTACTATAGTGCCATTTTCATCTAAATTTAGCAATGAAATAACTTAAATAAGACAAAAATAAAACTTAACTGGTTTACTGTAATGTCACTGCAGTGAAAACTGAAAACCAATCGCGAATGTTGCATCACTTGCATTTAGAGCCAGATCTTAGAGCATTAATTTGAATAAAATATATATCCATTATTTACTAATTAGAGCCTTAATTATCTTCGTCTACATATATACACTAATTAATTACATGCATTAATGCATACATGAACTTTGCCAAAAAATAATATACATGCATACATGAAGAATACACATTAACGAGTCAAAATAAAATATAAATTAATGGAACGAAGTTACACAGATTAATTAATTTAATATTAATACATGATTTTGATTTGTAAAGTTGTAAATAATAATAATACAGAACGCCTTAAAAATACAAATACAAACAAATGATGAAGTATAATGTGAAACTTGAGTACCAAGAAACGTAATACGAGGAAAAAACTCGAGAAAAACGAGAAATAGAGAGCGAGAGAGACTTAAATCAATTTCAAATCAAAGTTAGAGAGACGTTTAAGAACTGCCCATAATAACAAACAACGGCCTTTTGCTTCTCACGTGAAGATTTCAAGAACCAAGATCAAGAAGATCTCTCCTTTTCTCTTGCCTCTGTCTATATATATTCATTTCTCTCTTTCTTCGTCTGTTTCTTTCTCTGTCTTCACTTTTACTCTCTCGCTTCTTCTACTTCATTTCTCTTCGTCTCTTTGAATTTCTTCACCGTTTCCGTCGCAAGAAAACCGTGATTCACCTTCGTCTTCCTTAACCGTGACGTGCGTGATCCACCTTCGTCTTTCTCAATGGTGCTTCTTCTTCTTCTTCTTCTCAAATCGGCATTATATAGCGTCGTGTCTTCACATTCTTCAACCACGATTCACCATTGATTCTCTATCTCTCTTATCTTCTTGCTTTTTTGCAGGAAATTGAACAAGCCGTAACTCCTCCCGTCGTACAGCAACCGCAACCCGTAACTCCTCCCGCCGCACAGCAACCGCAACCGCAACAACAAACACTAACCGGAAGATTCTTCCGATGCCTCTTCACTTGTATCTTCTACACGCAACTAACCCTAATCTCGATCTTCGTGATCCTTCTCACGCTACGAGGTCTCGTCTGCACCAAAACACCAAACTTCCATCCCAAGAAATGGTACACTCCTCTGTTATCCTCTGTTGCTGTCTCCGGAATCCTCTCTGTAGCCTGGAATTGCTTCTTCGTCTGCAACATACGAGCCACAGTCAAAGCAACGTTCTGGTTCTCACCGTTACTCACACTCTCCGTCGGGCTCTTCCTAATTCTCTACGACAAATCCAATCCCGTTGTTCTATGTATAGGTGCACTTATTGTTGTCTATAGCATCGTTACGGAAATGTATGGCGGGCTTTACGTCAGGAACAAGTATGAATTCACCTTCAAGATGATGTCAATCGCCACAGGGATGTTACCAACAAGAACCAGAGCAATAGCAATTGTATCAGTGATCATAAGCGTCTTTTACTCTGGTTTCTTGGTTGCTGGAATCGGTGGAGCTACTGCTACAAGAACACGTCTTGACATTCTTTTCATCTCTATCATCGTGATAAGCCTTGCCTGGACAATGCAGGTTCTCAAAAACGTACAAGAAGTGGCGATTTCGAAAGCTACTTATGTATACTTTAGGCGTGATGAGGTCATGAATGCATGTGATGCTCTTGGTGTCACTCTGAAAAAACAGCTAGGGATTGTTTGTATTGGTTCAACACTCGTTCCACTTATTGTACTCTATAGGGGAATGATTCGGGGTTTTAATCTGCAAGGCAGGTGTGACGACGATCAGGAGATGTATGAAAGTACTCGAGGCTGCAATTGGATTGCCAATCATATTATTTTGTGTGGAAATAGATATGGATTTGTTCATGTGGGAGCTTACAAAAAAGGGTTTAAGCAAGCGTCTAGTGATACCTGGAGGAGGTTTAGAACAGTCGCTGGATTTGAGCAGTTGATTGATTTTGACATCACCAGCTCCATCTGTTTCTCTAGCGCCATGGGAATTGGTGCAGTCTCTGCATTGACTGCACGAATATGGGAGCTTCTGATTGATAGGGATCACTACTTTGAGCTGACTATCTACGCTTTCATCATCGGATACTTTGTGGTAAGATCTTATTATCAAAATGTAGGAAGAGAATCAAATATGGTTGTACTGTGTAAATCTTATGTACCTGTTTTTGTTGGTGTGGTTTCTCAGGGGAGAGTTTCATCTGCGTGGCTACAAGCTTGTGTGATGGGTTACTATGTAGCTTATTCTGAGGATCCACAGAGCGATAAGTTTGATAACACGATTCCAAACCGTATTGAGCGGCAAAATATCGAAAAGGCAAAAAGAGAAGTCGAGCATAATAGAGTCCTGGAAGTTGATGAAGGGGAGCCCACACACGTGTCACACGTGTAGAGAGCTCACATACGGATGGTATCCACTTAGTTCAGAAACAAAATACTTTGGTTTCTTTTTTTTCACTTTTCACTTAGACTTTTTAAAGCTAGACTAAAGATTGGAGCTTGTTTAGTCTACACGTGTATGCAAGCTAGACTAAACAATATGCAATTAGTAGTTTCATATTGCAAAATGCAGCTAGAGAAGGAAATGTACATACAAAGTGAGACGAGAATGATTCAGTTCTGATCCTTTCCCTGCTTTCTATTCTTGCTCTTTGATCCGTTGTCTGTATCTGATTGCATAAATAGTGAAAAGAGCAGTAAAAGAGAATTATGGTTTAGTCACAGCCACTTAGGAAACCATTTTATATAAGAACGGAAAATGAATGGACTCTATTACAAGATTGTAAATGTTTCAGCTAGAGATTACATCAGTACAGGAACTCAAAAATGTAGGATTTTGATTTTACAATAAGATAAGAGAGAAAGGTACAGCGTATAAAAGTGGGGAATAGGTAAAACAGAACTATGACTGGAAATCAAGCGACTCTCAGAGTCATTAGTGTCCTACGTGACCACGCCCGCCACAACTTTTGCACATAATGTTACCAGTTCCACCACAACCTAAAACAATAGCAACAAATGGTTAAAGATGAAGATAATGTAAATTGCATAGAACAAGTAGAACATGTAGGATAAGAGGCTGACCTAAGCAACGGACTTTAACAATGATGCCTTGGCTCTCCATTATGGAGTCTACATATAGACCAGTTCCAGAACAAGTTGCACAAAGCAATGCACCTTTAGCTTCACAACAAGTGCAACGCTGATTATCACCAATCTCTCTCTCTGACATGGATAATCCGACTGGCTCCTCGATTATTTCCTCTGGTATCGGTTTATCATAGCAGAACATTGACTCAAGACTGCTTCTTTGCTTATGCAGGTCTCTTTTTAAACATGACTCAGCCTATGAATTCAAAGAATTTACTCAACTTAGCAAATAATGTTTTAACCCAACCAGAAGAAAATAGTATTCACTTCTTCTTTTTTTTCACTTTCTCAATCACCCTAATGTATAAATGTTTCCCCAAAAATCCGACTATCCGAGCATCGAAAACAAATATAGAGTTGTGCAACATCATAATCAACCAAGCAACATTAAACTTTTTCCATGATTTGAAGTCATAGCATCAATATATATCTGTCATTACTCATAGTTGCTAACGCTAACAAAGCATTTACCATCATCATGAGACAAGTCTGTGAACAAGTACACATGAATGGGGAAAATAGCTCAACTTTTGCAGAAAAGTTTCTATTTTGCTACATCTTAAGCAACACTACAAATTAACAGGATTTGGAGTTTTGGAAGCAACACAAAGATGCTATATACTCATACTTACTAGCGCTAGTACTCACAATCATCATCAACATTAAACAAGTCAGGACAAGTACATTTTTGTATGATTCAGATTTCCATTGGAAAACTAGCTTTAAATTTCAAAAAGTGGCTTAATTTCAGATGCAGAACAACACAATTCTGAAATTTCGTAATCCAGCTGAAAAAAGGGACAAAAGCGAAGCAGAGGGAGAAAGTGGAAAAGAGATTTAACCTTGATAGATGAACAAGGAGGAAGAGAGCAAAATCTTACGCGGGAACCGAATCCAGAAGAAGGAATCCCATGTCCGCCAACAGAACTCGATTTAACCGGGAATGTAGCCGGAAAACCAAAATCTAAAGCGGAATTCATTGTCGGCTACACAGGAATTGAGACGAAACTAGTAAAAATCGAAAGATGAAAAATTCGAAATCGAAGATGAGATGAAGAAGGTAGGTGGGTAACTTTGGAGGGATCGCCCGTTCAGAGAGAGGTCTAGTTGTTCGTCGAGGTCCAATAACCGGACCTGACCGGTATGATACCCGGTTTTTTAAACCGAGCCCATAAACATCGAAAAGATGGGACGTGACAGTAATCAATAAATTCGAATTGGACAATGGATCCATCAAAAGAATTATGGGCCGACGTTAACATGACAAGCTTTTATCTTATGAATATGCCCATCATCGGGAAAAGTGAATATTTTCATCCGAACAAATTGCAAGGTACGTTTTTATTGATATAATGCTTTTTTCAACCTCAATTCTAAAAAAATTCTAAAAAACTACCCAAATTATTATATTTGAGCGTAAAACTACACTGACTTAATCAAATTAGCCAACCGTTTGTTTTTGCTCACTGAAACGACACGATAGTGACAAAGTGTGATGTTGTTTTGGTCATTTGAGTCCATAAAACTCAATACGATGATAACGAAGTGTCATTTTGTCTATATCAGTGTTATTTTGTCTTAGCCAAACAGCGTCGTTTTATTGAGTATATGAATGCAAATGACCAAAACGACGTCGTTTGGTTGAGTTTACGGACTCAAATGACTAAAACGACGTCATTTATCTATACATCGTCACTATCATGTCGGTTAAATGAGCGAAAACAAAGAGTTGACTAATTTTGTTTAAGTCAATGTAGTTTTACGCCTAGATCTAATAGTTTGGGTAGTTTTTTTGAATTTTTTTTAAGTTAAAAAATGCATTGTATCTTTGTTGAAGTATAAAAACGTGCTTTGCAATTTGTTCAGGTTGAATTACGCCCTTTTCCTGCCCATCATCAATTATTTTGGAGCTATCTTGTTGGAGTCAGCCTCTTGTCTAATGGGGAATAAGTGTTCACTTTTAAGATATTTCATCTCCAATTAAAAAGAGTTATATCAGATATTTTTTAGGAAAAATATATAAAAAGTCTAAACTAACAATAGGGTAAACCTGTTAATCAAGTATAAATGATAGACAATTATAAATTAAGGATTTGTGGTTTAGACGTTTAGTGTTTAGGTATTTAGATTATTAAGGTCATATTTTTTTTTTTTTTTTTTTTTTTTTTTTTTTAAACCTTCATTAATCCAAAAACGTCTTGGTACCGAATACAACAGTAGTGCCTCCAATAATGAGATACACCTAAAATAACAAAGAAACAAAGTACAAGAGCATTACACAAGAATCAGTGAATACAATTGCTAAGTCAGATACAATTGCTAACGTTCCAAAAATCAGTGAATGTGACAATGCGTGTAAACCATAAACTCGTCACTCGTCATCATGTGAAAACTTAGTTTTTTTTTTTGTGGTAATATGTGAAAAACTTAAAAAGTAATCAATGGTTTTATATCGAGTAAAAAAAGTAAGATCAAATCTCTCCGTCGAAGGGGACGTACGTGTTGATTTTAATGGATCGCTTCTACTCACTTAGCTCTCAAGCAATGAATTTCATCACAAAATAATATCAAAAAGCAAAAAAAAAAAAAACGCGTTTGAAGACCGCGTTGCTCTAGAGTTTACTATTTGCAATTCACACACACTCATAAGTCATAACTCAAGTCCCTTATCTTTGATATCATGTTCGATTAATTTTATTTGAAAAATTCCCTAAATATTATTTTGCTAAAAAAATTCCCTAAATATCATCCTAATAAGCATTTTAAAAAAAAATCCTAATCCCTCGACCGACATTCTTGTTTTAGTAATAAAAGTCGACCTCATTATACAATTATTTTCTATGACTGTGTGAGTATACTATTAATTTCCTTATTAACTTTATCTTTGTCACACTATGCTTTCCTTTATATTAACTTTTTCTACTTGTATCTTTCTGTCTTTTCTCTTTGGCAACTATCTCTTTATGATCGTGGGTGTCTCAATCTACTTGAAATTTTTATATCGATGTATATTTATTTCTTAAAATACGTTCGAATTAAGATGTTTTTCAGCTTATATGCATTCACAGAAGGAAATTATTTTAAGCTCATAGAAAGCCATTATTCTTTTTAATTAATACATTTTCAAGTTATCGTTATGTGAATTGGAAGTAACAGGCGGTGGTTTAAAAATCAAGAAACATTTCACAATTAATAAAATTAGAAAAATAAGAAAAAAAAATTGCAGTATACTACTATCTAACAATAAAATATCAAAAATACTGTTATAGATTAGAGTTTTACTTGTTGGAATAAAAAAACATTAATTTAGCACTGACTACATCCTTTTAATTAGTTTCTTATTTCTAAGCTAATGTTAAACCGGTTATTGATTACGTACCAAACCGGAATATTTCTGTTTTGCTAAAAAATTGCTGGGTCAGCTCCTTATATTATTATTTAATTTGTGGAAAAAGCTTCTAAATTTATTATGTATCCTTTCGCTAACCATCCTCCCTCGTCTTCCTATTCTTCGAATACGTAATGGGAAGAGAAAATGACGCACACATCATCGTGAAGCGACACATAAGCCATTTCCAAAACCCAAATCACCCTAACCCCAAAACGGCAATGACAAAGTGACAAACTTTTTTCAGATTCTTTATAAAAATTAAATATTCTCAATCCTCTGTTTTTGGTTTCTGTCGTTTGTCTTGTTAAAGTGTTTGTGTGTTTGTGGGTGTTTTCTTCGCTTAGTCTCCTTTAAAGCTTCGATTCGAAATTCGATCCCTTTTTGCTTTTTTTCTTCTTCTTCTTCTTCGAGATATTAAAAAAAGGTCAGTGCTTTATCTTTCTCTTTCCGCGTAGAGTTCGTGTTTATCTAATCTGTTTCTTCATGATCTGTTCTTATGGAGAAAACCCATTAATAGATTCTCAACAATAAACCCAAATTTCTTCTTTTCCAATTTTACTCTCTGATAAAAAACCAAACTTTATCTGTTTCTACGTTTGCTCTGTTCTGATTTGGTGCTTCTCGTTTTTGTTGAGTTTCCAGGTTTTACCTGATTGATGGGCTTTTCATTTTCTTCAAACCGTTTTGGTTACTTGACAATCACATTCTTCCTCGTTGTCTCTTGTCTTCTGTTGGGTTTCTTCACCAATCCTGTTGATACAAGTGCCCTAAGACCTAAATCCGAGCATGATTGTAGTGCCCTGAAGCACTTTCATGACTACAAATCAAAGTGTGCTTACCTCAAATCAATTGATCCATGTGCTAGTCAAGGTTTCTTCGATTACCTCTCTTTCCTCTATTGTAATTTCGAAGGATTCCCAATTTTGGGTCAGTTTCTTCTCTTCCTCTGGTTACTTCTCTTGTTCTATCTACTGGGTCACACAGCTTCTGAATATTTCTGTTCATCTCTTGAAAGTCTCTCAAAGCTGCTTAATTTGTCACCAACTGTTGCTGGCGTGACTCTTTTATCGCTTGGTAATGGTGCTCCTGATTTGTTTGCAAGTTTGGTCTCTTTCATGGGAGAATCAAAGGGTACTTATGATGTTGGTCTCAACACTGTTGTTGGAGGTTCTGGTTTTGTTACCTGTGTTGTTGTTGGGATCATTAGCATTTCGTTGCATAGCAGACGTGTGAGGATTGAGAGAGCTGCTTTTATAAGAGACATTTGCTTCTTCTGTGCTGCGATTGGTTCTTTGGCCTTGATTTTGGTCTATGGAAAGATCAATTTTTGGGGTGCTCTTGGGTTCTGTTCATTGTATGCTGTTTATGTTGCGTTTGTGTATCTCTCTTGGAGATTTGGTGGAGATCAAGGTGCTGAATCTGATCTCGAGTCAATCCATAAGCGTGGTAGTCTTAGTGAACCAATCTTGCAGAGAGACGGTCTTGAGGAGATTGAAGATGGTGTTGTTAATGGAGAGCATCAGATTGTTGATGATGATGATCATCACCAGAGATTTTATTACTGGAAAAGATTGGTCCTTTGGGTTATCACTCTGCCTCTCAACTTGCCAAGGATATTGACTATTCCTGTTGTGAGTGAAGCCAAATGGTCTAAACCATTAGCTGTTGCCTCTGTCACATTTGCGCCGGTTCTGTTGTCGTTTCTATGGAATTGGAAGCGGAAACCGACGAGTTTTGAGGCGGGGATTGTTTATCTCATCGGGTGTTTGATCGGTATAGCTCTTGGTTTCATTGCAGGAGCCACGACGAAGAAATCAACCCCGCCAAAGAAATGGTTGTTGCCTTGGTTAGCAGGAGGGTTTGTTATGAGCATGACATGGAGTTACATATCAGCACAAGAGCTAGTTGCGCTTTTGACCTCACTAGGATACATTTTTGGGGTAAGCCCTTCGATCTTAGGCCTAACAGTCCTCGC